TGAGGGTCAAGTGAGATATTATCCACTTGAAGCATTTCGTACAATGCTTGGCACATGGAAGCATTTGATAAATATTATCGGGGGTTATTGTGATTAAATGAGAAATATCACACAAAAAACTCTCAGACTAGGGTCTGGCTCATAATTTGTGCTCACTAAATGTCTGTACTTGTTTTGATTATTAGAGAAAGTTGGTGTCCCATTGTGGGGGAAAGGCTTGGCCCCACGTTTATGGGAACACACACGATGACCAGTCCTGCTTATCCTTTTCCCCAGTGACACATAGGCCTATTTGAGCTGGGAAGTACAACATAACTTTCTGTTGCAAGACTCCCTAGGTGACATTGAGATGTTGACATTCTCTTCTTCACCAAACTGGCTCCTCTGAATTTCTGGGGAGCCCAGTCAGGAAGCCTGAAGAGTCATCCAGCAAGTCCTCCTCCTTGGGGCTGGACTGTAGCCTCCTATGCATCCCGATAGCCCTCACTTTTAGTCTAGGCCATCTGGGTTCTTGCAGGGGCATAGTTTGAGGACTATTGACTGAGGGGTTCAAGTCCAATTTCCTGGCCTTGCATTCAAGATTCTTTGCACTGTGACTCCCACGCTGTGTTTCCAGCTTCATCTTCTCCTGCTGGACCGTTCATAGCCTGTGATCCAGCTGTATTTGATACCCATCTTCCCCAGTGTGTCTTGTGCCTTTTTTCAGGCCACTCCTTCTGCCTGAAATGCTCTTCGCTGCCTCGAAAACTCCAGGTTCAGATGTCATTTCTTTGATGTTTCACAACTCCCTAGGTCATCTGCTGCTGCCTTTGTGTTTTCTCTGGAGCTGTGTTATGGCCTTTAGTACATCGTCTCTTATTTATTCCCTGCTCCAGGCAAGAGTGGAGCCATGTTTGGTTTATCTCTATGATACCAGCACCCGATATGAGCCTGGCACAGGGTAGGTGTCATAAATATTCCATGAATTGCAGGTAATAGAATTTCCTCATGGCCTAGAACTGTCTGTGGTGCCATCTCCTTTTCCTTAGATTTGGGCTGGTCACTCTGGGCCAGGAATTTCCTTCTTTCAAGGATTATAGAAGTTTGTGGGTTTTTATTTTTTATTTTTGAGACAAGAGTTTCACTCTTGTCGCCCAGGCTGGAGTATGGTGGGATGATCTTGGCTCACCGCAACCTCCGCCTCCCAGGTTCAAGCAGTTCTCCTGCCTCAGCCTCCCGAGTAGCTGGGATTACAGGTGCCCGCAAGTACGTCCAGTTAATTTTTGTATTTATTTATTTATTTTTTAGTAGAGACAGGGTTTCACCATGTTAGTCAGGCTGGTCTCAAACTCCTGACCTTGCCTCTGCCTCCCAAAATGCTGGGATTACAGGCATGAGCCACTGTGCCTGGCCGAAGTTTGTGGTCTTTTAAAAGTAAAGCAGAGTGTCCTTTTCTCATCTGTCTACCTGTTGCTTGTGTTCTCTTTCTCCCTCCATTATAGTCTCTGCCGTTTTCCCCTGCGCAAAGAGCAAAGGAATGTGGAATCAGTCAGCTCTGGGTTCAAACCTGGGGCCCACCCTCCTTTTACTAGCTGTGTGATCTTGGGCAAGTGTCATATGCTCTCTGAACCTCAGTTTCCACACCTGTAAAATGGGATCACTGGTAAAACTCCTGTTATGAGGCTCCCTCCAGAGTCCTCTGCAAACAGCACCCTTGGTTGTTTCTTCTGTTCACTGGTTTTCTCTCCTTGAATTTCCTTTTCTGGATGGGTCCCTCTGGCTCCTCTCTGCTCCAGCATCTTTATATCTTAGTTTCTTCCCTACGGTTTCCCCTTGATTTCTTCTTGCTTCTGCCTCCCTCTCCCTATTTAATTATCTGTGTCCGATTCTTGCCTGCTCTGTGTCTTTTGGTCCCTTTCCTAATTCAGCGTGGAGCTCATCAGCTCTCACAAGAGAGGAGACTAAGAGCCCAGGAACTCTCAGCTCAACTCTACCTCCTCCAGCCCCAGGGCAGCTTCAAGGTGTGCCCATCTCAGCATGAAGCCAGCTAGGAGAGGGGGCAGGGCACAGGGAGGGCATACATATACCTTGAACTCCTACGCTCTGTTCAGTGTCACTGCCCAGGGGTCAGACCCATCTGCCCATGACTTTCCCTACTTCAGCAGTCTTTCTAGCTGAAGCTGTTAAAACAAAACAAAGCAAAACAAAACAAAACAAAACCCAGAGATCAGAACTTATTACTCCTTATTACTCTTCTGCTTAATTACTCCACTTCAGTGGCCACTCATTGCTCTTAGGGTTGAACCTCAAGCCCCTTCCTTGCTCATAGTTTCTTGCCTGACCTACAGACCCTGCTGACTTATTCAGCTGCACCTGGCTCCCTTCTGCCCCCGACTCACTCCATGCCAGCTGCCTGGCTTCCTTGCAGCTGCTTGTACCCACCAGCTCCTGCCTTTGCACAGGCCCCTCTGACTGCAATGTTCCTCCCCACTGATTTGCATGAGGTTATCTCCTTCTCATACTTCAGGTCTCAGTTCAAATGGCACCATGTCACTTCTACAGCAAAGCCCTCTTGGACCACTTATTTAAAGGAGATGCCCCTTCCCTATCTCTTTATCAGTATACTCCCTCGTTTCCTTTAGCATGCATATATTAGATGGTAATGATATATTTATGTACATGTTTGCTGTTGGGCTCTCCCACTAGAATGTAAGCTTCATGAAGGCTAGGACCGTTTGCTTTTCATTCATTCCATCCATTGAGTATTTACTGAGCATCAGTTACATGCCAGAGGCTGGGCGCAGTGGCACATGCCTGTAATCCTAGCACTTTGGGAGGCGGAGGCAGGTGGATCACCTGAGGTCAGGAGTTCCAGACCAGCCTGGCCAACATGGTGAAACCCTGTCGCTACTAAAAATACAAAAATTAGCCAGGCATGGTGGTGGCTGCCTGTAATCCCAGTTACTTGCGAGGCTGAGGCAGGAGAATCATTTGAGTCTGGGAGACGGAGGTTGCAGTGAGCCAAGACCGCGCCATTGCACTCCAGCCTGGGCAACAAGAGTGAAACTCCACCTCGAAATAAAATAAAATAAAATTAAATTAAGAAAATGCCAGATACTGGGCACTGAAGTACAAGATGAGTCTTTTTCCAAGGGAGCTTATTTCTAGAGGTGGAGACAGAAAATGTATTCATCATATAGCCCATGCTCTGTTTGAGATTGCAACCATTCCCCTTCCCTTCCCTGTCCCCCCACCACCCTCAAATTTCCTGGTATGAGACCGTGATAAGGGACATACACCAGAGGGTTTGCTTTTTTTTTTTTTTTTTTTAGTTGTTTACTCCTCTTGTTTTCCCACTGGAATGTAAGATCCATGAGAGTAGGGAATTTTTGTCTCTTTTATATCTCTACCGTAGCCTATAGTAATTGTAGAATAAATGAATAGACCCCAGTAAATATTCGTTGAATGAATAGGTGTCTGGATGGGAGGCAGGTCTCAGCCCCTATTTAATTCAAACCAAACAACCTTGATTCAAATCTTGGTGCTGTCAAATACTGTTGAATAACAGTATCTATGCAATATAATTGTTGCATACCTAATATATGATGATTAAATGAGTCCACGTGGGTAAAACACATAGAAGGTACCTGGTCTTACATAGTAACGAGCAACGAGTTTGCAGATCATAGTGCAAGGGCTTGTTCTGGGTAGAGGCCCAAATATATTTAACCTGTGTAGCCTGAGGATAGAGTAGGACCAGTGAGGGTTAGTGAGGGTGGTAGACTTGCACGTCTTGAAACGATAAACTTTCTAAAAGCCGGCGTTTCCAAAGCCCCAACCACCGCTCTTGGCAGGTGATGAGCGCCCTGTTCCTGGAGGTATGTAGAACACGCATTTGAAGGCGCCAAGGTAGAAGGGATTCAGGCATCGGATGAGACACAGGCCGGGTGTCCCTGGGTCACTGTCCCTGAGAGCGCTGTACGGGAGCTAGGCGTGGGCCATGAGCGTGCTCGCCTGGCAGTGTTGGTGCCCGGTCCGTGGAGAGGTCCGTGGGCATCCAGGCCCAGCCGCGGGGCCTCATGGCGGGGAGGATGCCGGAGCGGGGGAGGGGCGCGCCGGGGCTAGCGGGCGGCCGGACCCGCCTGCAGCACCCGCCGCGGCCAGCAGGGAGCGCCGCGAGACCGCCGAACCCGCGGCCGGGCCTGACGTCAGCGCCCCGCTTGCTCCGGCTCCCGCTCTGGACTCGGCGCCAGTCCCGCTCCGCGCCGCGCCGCTCCGCTCCAGCTAGGGCTCCGGCTCGCCTCTGGCTGGGCTCGGGCTCCGGCGGCGGCGTTCCCCGCGCCGGGCCCCGGGACGGGCGGCGGCGCTCCAACCATGGCCAGTGCCCAGGCGCTCGTGCTGGCGCTCACCTTCCAGCTCTGCGCGCCGGAGACCGAGACTCCGGCAGGTAAGCGCGCGGCGGCCGGACCGAGCCTGCCCCGCCGAGCCTCGGGGCCCGTGGCGTAGCTCAGAAGAAAGTGTGAGTGTTGAGTGACCGGGCGTTACAAGCGTGCTCCCTGTGTGTGTCTGAGCGTAGGATGGGCGATTGTGTGCCCGGGGTGTTGCGTGACTGCGAATGTTGTGTGTCCGTGAGTTCTGTGCGCAAGAAAAGGTGATGTGTGTCTGCGAGTATGTTGGGGGTGAATGTTGTGTGACATCGAGGCATTGGGTGTGCGCTGAGTGTCTTGTGGGTCTGCCAGTGTGTAGTGTTTGTGTGGCCAAGTGAGTTGTGTGTGTATCTGAGTTTGGTTGTGTTGCGGGAGTTGTATCTGCTAATGTGTTGCATTTGTTTGTATTTTGCATGCAGTGGCTGGGAGTGCTGTTTGTTTTGTGTCTGAGAATAGGTTTGTGTGTTTGTGTTATGCCTGTGGCTGGGGTTGCTCTCTGGATCCCGCCTGAGTGTGGATCCGGGAACCCGTGTGTGGCGTGTGTGCTTTTGAGATCCGTGTACATGTGTGAAGGCGTGGGAACGGGTCCGGAACGTGTGTGTCCGTGCGCTGTGTACGTGCGGGGAGTGCCTGGGGTATGTGGTGTGTGCCGCCGGGGGCCGCGTGGGTCCGAGTGAATGCCAAGTGTGCCGGGAATGCGTGTGTGGGAGCGAGTCTGGAGCGGATGTGAGTGTGTGCGAATGTGTTCGTGTGTGCTGGCTGCGCGTCCAGGAATGTTGCGAGTGTGGAGCGCGCCTGGGCCGCGGCTGCGAGTGTGCCCTGGGCCGGGGCCGCCCGAGGGGGCGGTGGCAGGACGTGTGTGCGCGCGTGTGCGTGTGCGCGTGTGTGGCGCGCTGGGCCGGAACAAGTTGTCGCGGCGGCGCCCCCTGGGCAGCCCGGGTCGGGCAGGGCCCGAGGCTCAGGGGAGGACCGGGCCCCGCAGCCGCCGCCTCGGGCATGTCGGACTGTTTGTTGTTTCGCAAGTTCCGCGCGGCGCTGGCGGGCTGCTGATCCGAGGCGGCGCCTGGGCTGCGGGGCGCCCGGGCTAGCGGGGGCCCGGCGAGGGGCCGGCGGGCGGAGAGGGGAGGGCCGGGCCGGCGGGCGCTCCTGCGGTGGCCGGGCCGCGGCTGCGCCCCAGGCGGCCGGGCAGGGGCTGTCCCCGGGCTGGGCTGCGACGTCGGGGCGCGGGCAGGGCCTGGCTCGCTGCCGGGGGACGGCGCCCCCTCCCTTGGCGCGCAGGACGCGCGGGGGACGCCCGGGCCTCCCAGGACACTCCCTCGGTGGAGCCCGCAACTTTGGGCGGCCTCCCGGCCGGCCGGGACCGCCAGGTGTGTGCGTGAGTGAGTGTGAGTGTGAGCGTGTGGCTCCGCGCTTGTCTGCTGTGTGGTCGCGTTCTCCGGGTGTGTTTCGGAGTCTGGTGTCTTTTGGTGTGCGTGCGCGTGTGTTATCGCAGCTGAATGTATATGTATACGGAGTCTGTGTTTGTGTGTCCGTGTGCTCGTCGGACTGTGGACCGTGTGTCGGGTGTGTGTGCGTGCGCGTGTCCCACATCCCACCCTGAGGCCTGGGATCCTAGACCACGGCCCTTTCCCGCGGAGTTTCGGGGCCCTGCTCCCGGTGACCTCCCCAACCCTCGCCACCGGCGGGGCTGCTCCGCGGGCTGCGGGTAGCCGGGAGACGCCCGGGGCGGGATCCGAGCCGAGACACGTGCCGGAGCGGAGCCGCCTCCTCGCGGTCGCCAGCCGCAGACAACTGACCTCCCCGGGATCGCGTTCGCGGCCCTACTGCCGCCTCCGGTGTCTTGGGCCGGAACTCCAGTGGCTGCCGCGTAGTGGCCAGCGCTTGGGCCTCGCCCTGCAGCTCTCCGGGGCCATAGGGCAAAGCTATAGCTTTGACCTCCCCCGTGCCAGAAAGGACGCCCAAGGCGACCTCCCTCCCCATCCTCCCCAACTTCTCTCCCTGTCCTGCAGCAACTTTGCCTCCCCCTCCCACCGTGAGATCAGACCCAAAGGGTACTGTATGCGCCCCACCCCCGCTCCTACCACCATCGCTTTGGTTTCAAGAACACTCACAAGCCCCAAGCCCTGCCAACAGGAGGACTGTCAGGAACTGAAGTTTGGGAGTGAGGCCTAGAGCAGGTTACTCCCATTCTTGATGCCTCAGTTTCCTTCTCTGCTTCATAGCCATCATGATAATGGTGTATGGCACTTTTGGTAGATAGCAAGTACCTTGTAAAGTAAGGCTATGTCTGTGAGTGCCAGGGAACAAAAAATGGATTTGAGAGTTGTTATAAAGCCCCAGAGGCTGTGATTTAAAGCTGGGGGATCTGGGGTTCAAATTCTGCCTCTGCTGCTTGCTGTCCATGTGACCTCTGGCAAATCACTTCATTTCTAAAGTTCCTGGCCCCCTTTGTTACTCTTAGAGATGAACTCAGAAGCCCAAGTAGAATAGATGTGATATCCCCTTGTCTCCAGTCTGGACAGAGTCAGCCCAGCTCCCTGAATACCGGAGGAGCTTCCGGGTAGGGGTGGTGTGTCATGCCTTCTCAGCCTTGCAAACCTGGTAGTTATTTATTCTGCTGTGTTCTTGCTATTTTGTCCTTTTGGTCGCAGGAGTTGTGGACGGCAGGAATGAGGGAGCGGCTGCCCAGTGGTTTCAGGTTAGGCAATAAAGGCTTGTCTGGGCATTCCTCCATTTTACCTGGGGCTGGGGGAGGGGACTTAGCAGGAAGCAGTGACAGTGGCCAGGGTGGGGACGCTGAGCTCCTGGACAGCCTGCTGCCCAGCTCTGGTGTCAGAAAAAACCCTAGGACAAGCATCATGCTTGATGGAGACAGGCCACCATCCTTCCATGATTTTCATCAGCTAAGCTGGGTGTGTGGGGTGGCCTTCCCCATGCAGGGCTGGGTTAGCCAGAGTTGCAGGGGGTGCCTTATGCTCCTCTTTCCTCCCGCTGCCCCCTTTTCTCCTCCTTGTCGCCCTCCTGCATACTGGAACGTCCTGTTTGCCCTCTCAGAGACTCTTTAATCTGTCTCCTCCTGTCCATCCTCAGCTATCTTTCACCTGCAGGAAGGCTCCAGCCTCCTCCTTCCCTCCTTCCCTCATGGTGCCAGGGATCTTCGTACAACACATTTTAACTCAAAGGGTTTAAAACCCTTTGAAGGCTCCCCATTGCCTTCAGGGTGAAGTCCTTATCCCTTGGCCCTGTTGCTGACTCTAGCACCTGCCCGCCTGTCCAGCTGCATCTTGTTTTGTGTCACTTCCCCTTGCATCCTATGATCTGGCCAGCCTGACCTTCTTCCCAAAGACTCAAATGCCCACAGCCTGCCGTCTCCTCTCTGGGCCTTTGGGCAAGCTGTGCTTTCTCTGCAGAACTTTCTAACTCCAGCTCTTCACTGGTGAACTCCTGCAACCTGATCGACTCTCAGCTGTAATCATCATCCACTCCCTGAAGCCTTCCTTGGTGATGCCCTGTCCTAGCCTAGGAAGTGGGGGGTGGGGGTCAGTAGGATTTTTACATAGCATTGTAATTATTGTAATTACAGTTTATTAGTGCTGTCTCCCTTACCAGACCGAGAGCTGAGGACAGAGACTAGGTTTTTAGTTTACTTCTGAATCCTCAGTGCCAGGTACAAGGCCTGGCCCACCGGGGCCTGAATAAATATATATGGCCTGAAAGAATAGTTTAAGGGAGTCAAGTTCAGAGGTGGAGATGCCAGATGGGGGCGCACTGATTCCACTGAAGGTAGAGATTGAAGAACGAGGTTTTCCCTCCAGGAATCTGGAAAATTCCTGGAGGGTGGGGGATGGTGTTATGTTGTGAAAAGGCCATGTTGAGAGTGTCATCTGGGAGCTTTGAGTTGGGGAGGTTAAGTCCCTGGCAAGAGACTGAAGGGAATGGGCCTCTTGCCTGCCAGCCCCTCTCCCAGGCTCTAGCCCCACCCCTGGCAGCTGGCAGGGCCCTTCCAGCCCCCAGTCTCAGCCTTTTGTGAGGGGACCTGGCAGTTGGTGAGGCATTGAGTCTCAACGGTCTGTGTGAGTGGCTGGAGAGGTGGGAGGGACCCCGCAGGGCCCTGTGTTAGGAGTGGGAGGGAAGCTTCCTGGAAGACCCTCCCTCAGTCCTCAGTCCTCAGTCCTAGATCTTAGGGTGGGCAGGTGGTGTCACAGCCTCTGTTCTGACCGCTTGTGCACTGGAGGGAAGGGAGAACTGGGTCCTGTGGTGGCCCTGGCAGATGGGGTTGGGGAGGCTGGCTGAGGTGTGTGCAGATGTGACTCAGCATCTGGGCAGTCAGCGTAGGTAGTGTGTAGGGATTGTAGCTAGGGGCGTGGACACATGTGACCTGTTAGGGTGTCTAGCCGTCTGGTTATCGTGGTGTGGCAGGATCTGAGTTTGGAGGAGGGAGGTAACCAGCTGCTTTGACCCCTGGGGAGCCTGGTGCTAAGGGTGTTTGGCTATTCAAGTATCACATTCCTGGAGTTGGGTGCAGAGCCATTTGGATGGGTGGTGTCTTGGTATCTAGGTGTGGACATCCCAGTACCCTGGTGTGGGAGGATCAGGGTGTGCAGACAGAGGCTATCCCAGCATCCCTGGGTCTGGAGGTGGGTGTATCCATGTGTCTGGGAGTCCTCAGGTTAGTGGGTATTTAAGTGGGGAGTGTCTCTGTGTTGTATCCAGCTATGGGGCTGGCCAAGTGCCTGAGTGTCCAGTTTTAGGGCTCCCCAAGTATCCAGGTATCTGAGGGTGGGGGTGTCTGTGTATGAAACAACAGGGATCCAGTCATTGAAGTATCAAGGTGTTAGTCTGGGTGTGGGGTGCCATGTGTCTATTTTTTTTTTTTTTTTTTTTGAGATGGAGTCTCGCTTTGTCACCCAGGCTGGAGTGCAATGGCACCATCTTGGCTCACTGCAACCTTTGCCTCCTGGATTCAAGGGATTCTCCTGCCTCAGCCTCCGGAGTAGCTGGGATTACAGGCACCTGCCACCATGCCTGGCTAAATTTTGTATTTTTAGTAGACATGGGGTTTCACCATGTTGGCCAGGCTGGTCTTGAACTCCTGACTTCAGGTGATCCACCTCCTTCGGCTTCCCAAAGTGCTGGGATTACAGGTGTGAGCCACTGCGCCTGGCCTCATGCGTCTATTTGTATGTTTAGTTGTGGAGGTGCCCTTGTGACCTGTGGTGGTGTCTGTGTATCCAGGATGTGTCCATGAGGGTTGTGGACGTGTTGGGTGGGGATGTCCTGGTGGCTGTACCCAACTCAACCTCTGGTGGCCCCTTCCCTGGGACTTGCCCTCTGATCGCTCTTCAGACTCCAAAGCCACAAGCCTCAGAAGGGGCCCCGATAGTTCTGTTTTTCAGCAGTCAGCCTAGAGCTGCATTATCCAATAGAACTTTCTGTGGTGATGGAAATTGTCCTCTACCTGTATTCTCCAATACAGTGGCTCCTGAATCATGTATGGCTATTATATTTAAATTAATTAAAACAAAAATTCAGTCCCTCGGTTGCACTAGTCAGATTTCAAGTCCTCAGGAGTCACATGTTGCTAGTGGCTCTCATTGTACTGGTTAATGCAGGCAGAGGACATTTGCATTCTCTCAGAAAGTTCTGCAGACAGCGCTGGTCTAGAGGCATGAGGCGGCCTGCAGCACCTTTAGTGAGGCCTGGGCATCTCTGGGAAGGGAATTGGTCTGGATGGACCATGATTCAGTGGCTGTTGACGAAGGTTTTGTTCAATCCAGGCTCCTTCTCTGTAGCCTTATTAGATCTTGCCTGGACTATTGCAGTAGCCTGGTAGCCTTCTTGGCCTCTACTCTGCCTGCCATCACGCTCTCGGTTTCTTTTTTTTTTTTGAGATGGAGTCTCACTCTGTCACCCAGGCTGGAGTGCAGTGGCACCATCTTGGCGCACTGCAACCTCCGCCTCCTGGGTTCAAGCAAGTCTCCAGCCTCAGCCTCCCAAGTAGCTGGGACTACAGGCACGTGCCACCATGCCAGGCTAATTTTTTGTATTTTTAGTAGAGACAGGGTTTCACTGTGTTAGCCAGGATGGTCTCGATCTCCTGACCTCGTGGCCCACCTGCCTCAGCCTCCCAAAGTGCTGGGATTATAGGCATGAGCCACCACGCCCGGCCCAGCCTTTCGGTTTCTAATGCTTCCACCACCCTGTGGCCAGAATAAGCTTCTAAGGCAGACATAGGATGCTGTCACTCCTTTGTCTCAAGCTGAAGGCTCCCCAGAACTCGGGACAAAACCCAAACGCTAGCATAGCAGATGAGGCCCTGCGTGACCAGCCGTTTCTTTCTGAAGCAGCTTCACATGATGCCTTTCTT